AGGTGCCAATGCTGTGAGAATGAAGATAGCATCTGCTATCACTTCAGATGAGCAACTTCTACGAAGGAGGCTGCCTCGTGTAATTAGTGGTGATAATTTGCTTCGACCATATGACAATTATAAAGCACAAGGACAGGTACTATTTAGCTGGTCTCTGGAGTTTTACTATCAATTGTGCATATGTAGCTCAAACAACTAGAAATATATGGAAATATAAAAGAATAATTCGAGGTCTTTGGACCCTCCTCTCTCTGTATTTTTACTCAACCGTAAACCACACTAAACAATTTCATACCTAATCCTTTTCCACCCCTTCTATTTATAACAAATTCTCGAACAACTTTCCTAGCTAAATACTAATATATCCTTAATACTCTAATAATATCCCTTATAGCATTCCAATAAGTTACTTTATTTAACTAATTGGATTTTGTTAGTATTCTAGCAGAAACATAAATTGAAACTTGATTGTTGAGGAACATCTTCATTCATACAAAGGAATTATTTTTATGAAAAAAAAAATTCTCTTTTAAATTGAATTTCAACATTGCTCTCGCAGTTTCTTGGTCTGCATGGTTTCCAAGTTACCCCAAACATAAGTGCAACATTCAAAAGTGGATCATCTATCAACTGTCGAACTAGCCTAATCTTCCTTAGAGTCAAGTCAATAATTCGTTTAGTGTGTTTTGAAAGAGAAAACCCTTTAACTCTAGTGTCTTTTCTAAGTACCCAAGGATCCTATAGACTCTTTTTGTAGGAATGTTCATGAACTGACTTACAATGCTTACCACAAAATTGATGTCAGGATGAAGGTAGGAAAAGATAGATAAGCTTCCTGACCAGACATATCCTTCTTTTTTCCAAGAGGAAAGTTGTCTTCTCTTTTCTTGAACTTAATATTTCTATCCAAGAGTCGATTACCACCCTAACATACATGCTTCTTTCAATAAATCTATGACAATTTTTTAACGTAGCTATGCTCCTTTTTGAACCATTCCAAGAAATTAAGATGTCCTAAATCTTTTATTCAAAGTCTCTAGTAAGCAAATTGTATAGGTTTTTCTTCCTCCATCGTGATTTCCAGTGAGAATGATGTTATTAACCTAGATGACAATGATATTTTGAGTAGGATCTAATGTAAACTTCTGCTTGCAACACTAATCAACTTTTATTTTCCCTGGGTGAAGGTTATATTGCAGCTGGCAGAATCAGGTTCATTTTTTGTACAGGTTGATTTATTTAAAGTGCGTGGAAAGTTTGCGTTATCAGATGCTTATGAAGATCATTTTTTACTTCCCAAAGGGAAAATACTTGTTGTCACTCATAGAAGAGTCATGTTGATGCAAGTAAGCTAGCCAATATTAGAATACATTTTTTTGGTCCTCTTTGCAGTACGTGATAATTACAACTTTTTTCGTTTTACAGCAACCTTCCTCCATCATTGGTCAGAGGAAGTTCAGCCCAGCTAAAGATCCGTGTTCCGTGTTATGGGATGTTCTATGGGGTGACCTTATGACAATGGAACTGACGCAAGGAAAGAAAGACCATCCAAAAGCTCCACCTTCTCGCCTCATCCTTTATTTACAAGCTCGATCAACAGAGGTGAAGGAGCATGCTCATGTTGTAAAATGTAACCGAGGCACCGACCAAGCTCTTCGAGTTTACACTTCAATTGAGCTTGCAATGAAAACCTATGGACAAAACCTATCAAAGGTTTGCTTTGTCTTGGAACCCTATTCCATAATACTGTTTTTTTTATTAGTTTAAAATACCATTTTGGTTCTTGCACTTAGGGAACTGGTTCTAAAATGTCCAAATTTAGTTATAAACCTTAAAAGTAGTCTCCACAATGGTTAATATTTGCTAAAAAAGTTTTTAGCTTCTATAAACCTTCACTGATCGGTGATTTTACTATTCCATTAATTTTCCAGACTTATATGCGATTCAATGATGGTCGGAAATTCTAGGCTTTAAGAGGAAAAAAACTCATTCTCTTCTAGTTCTTACAACCGAAGTCTGACCTAAAACCAAGTCAACTAACATATCATCCAAAATCTATATAACAACATACCTAAAGTACAGTTATAAAAAATGACCAAACCCAACCAAACAAACACCCAACCCCTGCCATAAAATCAAGCAGCCCAAAAATGCCCAAATGCAGCACCATATACTCGGTATTCAGTCTAAACAAGTGTCTAATATAGCCACGAAAGTAACCACTGCAAAACCAGTCTTACCTAACCACGAGAATGTCCATAGCTATTGTTAAAGATGAATCAACCACCACTCAACCCAAAAGCTTAAGCTGATGGATTGGATAAATTTAATTCATATATTGGTTATCTAACACTCCCCCTCACTTGTGGGCTTGGAAAATTGCAACAAAACCCGACAAGTGGAAATCATAATAAATGGGAAGGAAATAACCAGCGGTTCGAACACAGGACCTTCCGTTCTGATACCATGTTAAAGATGAATAAACCACCACTCAACCCAAAAGTTTAAGCAAATGGGTTTGGTAAATTTAATTCATACCTTGGTTATCTAACAGCTATCAATAGACCAGAAACTAAGTAGCTCAACTAATCAATCGTATTAATTAACCACTTTGGGAAAAGAATTTACTTTTCCTTGTATCCAGTGAAGTATACATTTATAATCAAGAAAAGTCTACAAAATTGGGAAAAGTGAAATAGTTAAACACTTGACTAAATGAGATTTTTTTGGTAACAGTAACAAAAATAATTTTTCATACCATGAATATCTGCATGACGTGTTGTGATTGTATTGTATGCTAAAATTTTTACTATATGATTCAGGAAATGATGCTAATGAAAGTAAGAAAACCATATTCTCCAATTGCTGACGGCGCTATGTGCGAATGGTCTCCCCAGCAGGTTCCTGCATCTGTTCCTTTCAGTTCCATTTTTGGCAGCAGCAGTTATTGATTCATAGTTTTTGCGATGCTTCTATGATTTTACAAAGCTCTTCATTTTGAGAGGCCACTTGGGAAATAGCATTCCTTTCTTCAGGAGTTTTGTGGAAAGGTGAAGTTCAATGTTAAGATCTCTACTTAAACATTCCATAATCTGCTGAGAGCTGAACAGTAAGGCAAGCCTCTCAATGAATCTGTTGTTAGGAATTTTTATTGATCTTTTGCGGTTTTCCCCACACTTGCCTCTATTGATATCTGCATGGAAACATGCTTGTACTTCATTTTTATCTGTGTGTCCAAGTGCAGCATGCTCAAAAAAGTGTTTTGGCACATCTTTTAAAGCGTCGGTTTCTGAAAATCGGCAGTGTTTAGTTAAAACTTTAAAGAGTGGAATAAAGGCTTTTATAATCAAAATAATTTGAGAAATTTTAAAATAGACTTGGATTTAAAGTGGTCTTATAAGAAGCATTTAGTTAGTTTTCTTCTACAAGTTTTCCAGAAAGCATCCCGAGCTTTGTTGATTGACTGTAGTTTTCTCTTTTACCGTTTGCAGGTGATTAAGCTCAAGGATTGAGCGATGAATCCATTATTTTAGCTCAAGTTTGTCTCTGTGGCAATCAGCTTCATGTTTATGAATATTGTATAGCTTTTTCAACAGTCATTGTATAGTTAGTTCTTAGTTACATATAAATTGTGTATATGTATAACAGGTGAGACCGATTAGTCCACAGCAAAAGAAAATTTTTATCTGAACAAAGAGATTCAAATGCATTCCTATGTTCAAAGGCAACATCAAAATTCAAGTCAAACTAAACATTATTTTGGTTAATAAACACATTAGTATTGGAGGCTTAAAATTAAAATAATGCACTATGTACAAACATTGAGTCCCCTATTCCTGATCAAAAAAAGCTGTGAATTTGAATCACTGCCTTCGCATGTTGTTGTATTAAAAAAGAAAAATTAATTCCTAATGTTTGAATAATCTTTCATTTTTGTATAATCTTTAAAAAGTTAATAATAAATTTCATCCCTTACTGGTTTTCTTTTAAAATTGAATTTTACTGTTCCAAAACATTAGAATTAAGAAGATTAAATTCATTAATTGAGTTGTTCAGATATTCAATTTTTGTTGTTGACATTTTCATGCCTACAAGTTCAATATTTATATGGAGATGAATCAACATTTACACGGCATTGTAAAAAACCAAACAAAATAAAATAAAATTATATATGTATTATTAATATGAATAATTATATATGTATATTGATATTAATAATTTCTAGTGCTTATTTGTTTACTTAAATGAATTTTTTTATATATATAATTTTTCTTTTTATAAAATTAAGATTTACATTTAAAACCTTGGAATATAATTAAGATTTACATTTAAAACCTTGGAATATGTTGTTTCCTTTGAAATAGGTAGGTTTACACTCAAAATTTTGCCTACTTCATGTAGTAACTTACCTATAAGGCTATGATGGCAACATCACTAAACTAAATATATTTTTTATAAAGTAAATATTAAGGGCATATTTGATATGCAATTTTGTTAAATATAAAGTGTTGATTTTTGTTAAAATTAAAATATGTTAAACATAATATATTATGTAATAATTGTACAAATTTTATTTTAAATGGATGCATTATTTAAAAATCGAAGTTTCGTCTCTTATACATACATGATTCATTTGGATAAGACACCTATCTATGGGTCATGAATTTAAACCTTTTATCTTCATATTATACTTAAAAAGGAAGGAAAAATATCATTGGTGAGTTTTTTTTCATCATTTTTAATACGTTAAGAATTTTAAACAAATAGGCATCCTTTATTTTAACCCAACTTGCCTGCTTCAGACCCATACACTAACTCGAAATTGACGGACCGACCGACCGGTTGGGTCTGTGGGTACAGTTTCTGTTGTTTTAAGAAACCAAATGTTGAATTTCGGTTCAGTTTTGATTTAGATGAACCGAACCAAACCGAACCAAACTGAACCAAACCAATTAACCTACACAATTTTTCCGAAGTATTCGGGAGCTCACTACATCTGATAGACCTGCTAACCAAATCTTCAAATCAAATTCTGGAGCTTGATTGTTGCTTCATACAAATTTCAAGGAGGCGGATTTTTTATTCATCCTTCTCTCTTTCCATTTCCATTTTTTCCCCCGAAAGCCAAGCGCGCCACAAGAGGAGTCAGAGGAGGAGGTACGTGATCATCTATCTGGAATCTTTTCTTTTTTTTTACCTTTGTTTCCCTTATTTGTGCATTTCAATGCATTAATGGTGGTGGTGAATGTCCGCATTTACGATTGGGTGTCTGCAGAAGCTAAGACGCATAGAAATTTAGGGTTTCATTTGTAGAAAGATCAATATTTGGTACCCATCTCGGTTCGGATGCTTCTTGAGTTATGACAGCATGAGATGGAGTGATTGCTGCGTTAGTTCTTTATTTTTGGATTCTGGTTAATACTAGATAGGATTTTTTAAGTTGATTGAGCTTGGATTGTGTTCTATTTATACCCACTTTTTAAAAGTAACTTCCAAGCAAGACAATGTTTCAATCATAGTCTTGATCGTTTGAATTTCTTAAGAAATGGAGATGGTGAATATAAATTTTTAAATTCCTTCATGTAAGCTCCGATCCACAATTTGATGGGTACGTTGCTTCTTTTCTGCTTGATCCATGTTTTTTTTAATTCTTCGGCTGCTCTTTCTTGATAAATAACAGTAGGTGGGGAAAAGGGGGGAAATGCCATCTCTACAGACTGCTCTACCTCCTGAGCTTGCGAATAATGTCATTAGGGTTGGTTCCTTCTCTCCTTTTTTGCTATACAATTTCCTCCACATACTTTTTTAACCTTGCATGTCTTATCACTGCAGCTTTACCGCGAGTGCCTGCGAAGAGCCAAGTATATTGGTCATCAGGTATGGATGTTCTCATTACTTGTTCTTATCTAAACTAATGGTCCCAAACAAGTGTTATGACTGTAATAGTCTTGCATTTGAAGAATTTAGAATGGTTTATTAGTCAATGAGAAGTGAAAAGTTCAAGTTTAATGTATTATTGCTGAATACAGCTTTCAACACACTGGAACACTCCATTGTTCTCTTACATTCTCACTGGGTTTATTGCAATTATCAGAGCAATGATTTTATTTGCGTATTGCTCTACTTCCCCTTTTGTTTGTATACTGCCTCAAGTCTACAGTTGAATTCATGCAGGACATAACAACATTGCAGCACAATTATGTTCCCATTGTTCATATTAATTAGACAAGATCTTACGAACTGAACAATTGGCTGGAACATAATATTTATTGTATAAAAGCGCCTTCTGCTACCTGCCTCCAGGTTTATGTTTTTGCTTCATAGGAAAATGTCCAACTGTAACTGTAAAGTACCTTTGAGAAGGATTAGGATGAAGGTGGTACATTGCTTGTGATGTGGAAGTGAAGTATTGTCTGAAGGCTAGGTTGTCATGTTTGACGTAACATTGGTTGTTTATGCAATGGCAATAGAGTTTTAAGAGATTTGGCACACAGAAGAGAGAATACTGTATATGAGTGGTACTCTAAGAATTTAATATTGTGTTTACGTTAACTTGTGAAGATTTATTTGTCAGAAAATGTTCATTACAAGTAGTGATTCTCTATGTTTAGGTGAGGACTATCTAGCACCTACAATACAGTTCACAATCTTATTATCAAATAGGTGGGAAATCAGAAATGGAAGAATGAAGATCCTATTCATTTAAATGCATACATGTAGTTCGATGTTGGAGGAGGTTCTTCATCACCCTCCTTTTAGGTGCAGGGGTTGGTTCAGACGGGTTTCTTAGCTGTTTTATGGGGCTTGTGGACCGAGAGAAATAACAGAATTTTTAGAGTGATTGAGTAATCTTAGGAGGACGTTTGGGCTCTTTTTTGGTTTCATCTTTCCCTTTGGGCCTTGGTATCTAAAGTTTTTTGCAATTACTTATTAGGTTTGATTTTGCTAGATTGGAATGCGTTCTTTTAGTTTCGCTCTCTTTTGTTGGAATGCTTTTTTGTATGCCTTTTTGTATTGTTTCGTTCTTCTAAATGAAAGTTCGGTTATTTATAAAATTAGAAATAAATAAGTGCAGGCTACATGATGATCTTAAGCTTCCTCTATCCTTGACTTGATCCTTTCTTTTTACTAAACTAAGTTATAGTTGTATCCAATTATAGGAAGGGGGGTTGAGAATTTTTAAATTGTCCCTTGTTACTTGTTGAACTTGGATCCTATCAATTTTTTGCAGCAACATAACACCGAGCTTGTTGTTAGTATGGTGAGACAACAATTCAGAAAGAACATGCATGAGACTGATCCAGAGAAGATTCAGAAGTTAAAAGATGAGTATGTCTTATGATTGCTTCTTTTGCCTTTATTTGTTTCTTTCACTCGCTCTCTCTCTATATTAAAAAGAACTACGTACAAGAATCAAGTAGGAAAGGCAGCCTCCCAAACCCAAAGGCTAAAATCTCAAAGTTACATTATCTGATTAGAGCTGTGTGGGCGAGGCACTCACATTTCTGTGTATATTGGTTGTTTGCAGTGCGGCAAGGGGACTCATAAACCACATTCTATACGAATCTGAGCGACTGTCGGGTCGAAAATTCAGCCAAAGTTCTTGATGTTATTCTAATAACATCAAGTTAAAGTAGGAAAATAAGATGGCTAATCCTTGGAGGGTATTTTTGCATTTCCTTCTGTACAAGGCTAGGAACCACGTGTTCGAGTTCAAGTCCCTCCTCATCGGGAATTTTCTTAAACTATCCCCTTTCTACAAGTTTCTTGAGGAAAACATCCATTTACAGTAAAATGTTGAACTATTCACGTCAACAATCTGTATTTCTTTGTGTAAAATGAATGCCTATGGAAGACATGAAATCCATTTTTCAAATATGAAATCCGGCGGGCTATTTTCTTTTCAGGATCTTATATGTTACATAATCTAAGTATGTTCAAGGGTATTTTGATGCTTAGAAATGTATGATATTGTGCTCGTAATCCAACGAATACTTGAAACCAAGAAGATTGTGGTGTTTGTTTTGCAATAGTTGTCCCAAAAATAAATGATAAAATTAACACTTGTTCATTGTAAGCAGCTGGAGACTACAAAAGAATCAAGTATGCTTTTATTCGAAAAGTTTCAATCACTATGCTATCAGATAGATACATAGATTCAAGGGTCTCTATGTAGACTTGTGGCAGTGACACATTGAAATTAGGTGTTCAAAAAATTCGATGATTGAAAAGTTGATCTAACCTGAAGGTTTGGGTTAGATTATAAACTTGTTTAAATTGGATTAGGTTCAAATAAATAAAAATTCTATGTTGAATTAGTCAGAGATCACCTAAAATATGGAGTTGAATTAAATATTATCACTTCAAAACTATTTTTTTCCTCATCCTAAATGATAAAAATACGTGTAGTTATATTTAGTTTAATTTTACTTTCATTCAATAATTGTTTATTGATTATTTATTTTACAATGGCTTTTAAAAACAACTTTTTTAGTGAACTTTTTTAGATAAATAATCGACTTGATCTTGATTCAATGTTAAAGCAATTTTACGATGTAATTAAGACCCTAAGTCATCTCAAGCCTATGAAATTCCTAGCTTATTCTTCTAACAAACATTTCTTAAACAATCCAAATTTTTTAAATTTTAAAAAAAAATACTAAATAACATGGCTTGAAAGATTTCAATTACGGTTTTCCCTCATTGCTTAAGTTCTAACATTAAAAATCTTCTAAAAAAAACATTAAAAATCTTCACATAAATACACAGTTTATGCCTACAAAATTGTAAGGATACAAACTTCATTGTGCATAAAATCGAGATTCGCACGAAACATACACTCTTAAATTAAGAGAGAAATATTTCAACTTTACGCCACTGTTAATTTAAAGAGCACTAAAATATTTCAACTTTACGGGTATATTATTTAATGTTTCATTAACTAATCTTTGTGGCTCATATTTTTCTTAAATATGTTGCAAGACCATTGAATATTTGCATGGAAGTGGAACAGTGATACATAACATTTTTCAAAATAATGTTATTGATAACACTATCAATTAAATAATGCTAATTGCAAGAACACAGCATATTCATACATCATCATCATCATCAACCAATCGTAAACATTTCCTAAACACCACATTTCTTGACCTTATGGTTGGATTTTTGCTTTAAAGCTTCCGGGTAAGAAAATTTAAGAATGAGATTGGATTTGGGAGTATGAATAGTTCCCACTCGAAGTGAAAAAAACCCAAAGCCGGCCATCATCCAAAAATCAAAGGATAGAAAGAGATTCATATTACTTGAGGAGGAGCTGCATTAACAATTTGATCGCTCATATCTGCACCATTCTCTGGATTCCCTGGCTCGATATTATTGTTCCCGATCCCGGACGCTGGAGGAAACTGCCTAGCGTCGTCTCGTTCTTCAAATGCGCTCTTTTGTGTGCCGGGAGATGAAGCTGTGACTGATTCGGGAGGAGGTAGATCGTCTTTTCTATCGAAGTTCGACTCACGTGATCGCTCATGATTATCATGGTTACGGCTACGACTACGGCTTCGACTATAACGGCGTGACCAACTTCGAC